GGGGGGGGGGGCTTCATTCTGCTCTTCTCTCTACTGTTGTATACATAGGAAATTTTCCATGGAAAAATTCTGGGCCTCGGGTAATGCAAGTCTTGCACCCTGGGCCTCATCATTCCCAATCACAAGAGACGCGTTCAGCTGAGCCACGTTCATCTCTTGTCACATTTCAAAACAGAAATTCAGTAGTCTTCTGTTTTGCCTAAAGCAGAAAAAGCCATGAACTGGGGAGGAATATCGCTTTGCTTTTGTGTGGAAAACAATCTGGGAGATACACATGGTCTCCTTTATCATGATCATGGGAGGAGTCCGACCAACGGAAGAGGCGAAGCCGGCACTCCAGAGAAAAGCCACATTTTTAGGTGGCTGGAAATAAGTCCTTCTTTTGGAAGAGTCAGTCCCAAGGGAGGTCTTCTGGCAGTATAGCACATGGCGTGAGTGTGAAAGCTGAGAGGGATTTGATAAGTTACAGCCCGAGCTACAGCTGCCAGCAAAGGGGCTGTGCGACTGTGGTGGCAGGTCCCGCATTGCCCAGGCAGAGTCTGGGGGTAGAAAGGAGTCTCCTGCAGACACCCTGACACTGGTGGTTCTGGTGCCCACCCACATGGCACCTCGTTCTCACAAGCCACAAAGATGGAGGTTGCTCTGACAACATCTCCAGCCGTGCAAGGAGGGGACACCAGCCACCATATGCTGGTGGAGGGTCCTACGAACTGCCATGAAGCCCCAGACGTGGCAGGCCATCTCCCAGGCTACAGGGCAGTGACCAGGTTTCTTTTTCAATGAGTGGTCCCAGACAGAACAAATTGTCATGCTTGTAAACTAGAAATCTCGGAGGGCAAATTTTGAACTTGAGTAAGTAACACCATTTTCCTTTTCTTTTTTTTTTGAGTAAAAAAAAATATATATATATATATATTGGGGAATGGCTAGGAAATTAATATAGGTGTGTGCTTCCCTGGGGACACAAGCACAAAATGCCGCTCAGTAGACATGTGAGGGCCCGCTCTGTGCCAGGCACTGTGGACAAGGCAGCGATGGACGAGACATGGTTCTTGTCTTCAAGGAGAGCACAGGAAAGGGGGAGACAGGTGCACACGATCTCCTGGGTAAATGCTGAACCAGAGGGCATGTAAGTCCTGTGACTCAGGCAGGGTAACTTTAGCCAAAGTCTAACTTTGGGCAAATTGGTTAATCTCAATTTTGCATCTAAAAAATGGGGCAATCCTTGCCTTGCTGACACTGTAGAGTTGTAGAGCTGTAAGGAGCTAGACGACTAAGATAATAACAATAAATAAAGAAGCATCAGCAGCTGCAGGAGTGGAAAAGGCTTTCAGACCCTCCCACGGACGAGTGCCCTCGTGGACAGCAGCCAAGACCCGGCAGGTTCCTGATGCAGGCTCTGCCCACCCTCCGGCCAGCCCAAGAGCAGCGGCGCCCTGTGCCCTCATTCTCACAGCTGGTTCCCGCTGGCACCTTGTCACATGCCCGGGAGCTGCCGGGGCCTGAGCAGCCCTCTCCAACTCGTTCAAACTTGCCTGATTCAGGGGGTGAAGGGGCTTAGTTCTAATCATCTTAATAAATCTCAGAGCTTGGGAGCCAGAAGGGACGTTCCGACATAGTGTCCAATCCTCTCATTCGTAGGAAGGGAAAAGGACATTAGGCAGGGGCTGTGACCTGCTCGAGGTCACTGAGGTGGTGGGACAGCCGGTGTCGGAACCTCATTCTCAGGCCCCCCCGGTCCCAGAGAGCTGCTTCTCTTTCCTGGGAGGTTCGGCCGCCACTGACCCTGTTGCCTTTTATAACCTTAGTCTTTCCTGTCTCCAAATAGCCTAACGTCCTAGGAAGAGTCGTTAGGGCAAAATAAAAGAGAAAAATTCTTCCTAATAACTTTTTCCCAAGCTCTCTGTTCTCTGGGGTCTTGCATTGCTGTGAAAATGTTTCCTAAATGCCTGTATGTGTGTGTGACCCCAGCCCCGACCTGGGTTCATAGACATGGAAATGAGGTGTCCTGATCCCCCAGGAGCTCCTGGTGTAGTTGTCACTACAATGCTCCCTCCGTGAAACCTCTGCGCTGGGGAAAAAAATGTCCTTTTAACCTGGTTCCCTTCAGTCACGTGTGCGCGGAGACGTCCTCTCATGGCCGCTTTACTTCGAGGATTCCCGCCCCTGCCTGGCTGGCGGCTCCTGCCACCTTGACTGTGGGCCTGGGCGGTGCAGTGACCAGGGAAAAGGCGGGCAGCCTTACCCTGGGAGGCTTGCCCCCCGCTCCATGCGCCTCTTCCTGACCCTCGGGGCTTGCATGCTACATCGGGGGTGCTTCCTCTCTGCTCGCTCCTGTCCCTAAAGGCTTTGTTTTTGCCCTCAGCTGAGTGTCGTCTTCCCCCAGTTTGCCCCTGGAGCGATCCCTGTGCTGTCCTTCAGCCTCTCCCCCATCACCATCTTTGTGTAGCTGAGTTGCAACGAGTCCAGCGCTTTGTGTCCTTGGATTTAAAAACAACATAGTTCGGTGGAAACGCTGACTGGCGTGTGCAAGCGAGGAAACGGGTGTCCAGTGAAAGGTTGGCCTGGAGGTCCTCACATCCCTTCCAGCTCTAACATTTCTGAAAAGGTGTATGCAAAGGTCGACGGCCTGAAACCTAGTAGGGTTCTCCTGTGTGTGTCCCGACCTAGGCCCAACCCCTCGAAGCATTTTACAGGAACGTGGGCACCGAGTTTTGCTTCTGACTCTTCCCTGCTCTCGGATGAGGTCCCCCAGTTAGAGATCAAGGTGCGGGGAACCGGGGTTCGGTGGGCCGGTGTACACACTCACATCCTTGTGAACAGTGCGATTCTCTACGGAAGGGTTCCCAGAAGAAGCGGTGTTCCTTCCACCTCTGCTCTAGTTAACGCCCTTTTCTGTGCTGAAACCCTGATGACCCCAGAAGGCAATGCTTGGCTCCCAACTCCGGGAGGGCTCACGGGACACCACGTTCCACTCTAACAAGCCATGACATGCCGATCACTTGCTTTTCTGGAGACACCTCAGCCTGAAAATCTGTTTAATTACCATGGGAGATAATCTTTTAAACATAGCTTTACATTCTTTAAAGACTTTTCCCTGTGGGAGTGAGAAAGTTTATCTGACAGCGGATGGGATTGTTTACTTTCATTTCCAGAGGAAGGACTATCACCTGGTGGTTATCAAGAAGCCTGAGCCTGGAGAATTTAGTTTTCAATCTGTTCCTCCTCACCGGGAGTTTGTCAACGACACTGTAATCATTAGTTTGCAGAATTGTCATGCTTTTCCTCCGTGTAAACCATGCACTTTCTCTGTGACTCCAGGCCTGTAATTACTTGATATTTGACAAGTATTCCTATCAGGTTGGGTCCTATAGTTACCCTAGGCATGGGTATCAGGAGTCACTGTCCTCAAGGGCTTCCTCCCGGGAAGATCATACCTGTAACTCTATTGGCTGCAGACCTACCTGGAGCTGTAGTCAGACCCCAGTTTTTCCAACCTGAGGCGTCCCAGCAGCTTAAGTCCTTCCCCCACAGAACGCAAGTTTGGGCCAGGAGGGGCTCTAGCGTGGTGTTCAACCTGGTGGCCCCAAGACCCAGAGTGATCCCTGCCTGTAACAGGTAGATTGCTGCAAGTCAACAGGTCTTCACGTGGAGAGGATGTGTATTGTGTCAAAATAGGAACAGCGTACAAAACAGAGCAGAGCTTGGGGGGCCCTAGCGCCTGGCCTGGGGCTTCCCTAGTCAGTCTTACCCCACCTCAGTTTACAGGCAAGTGGTCTTGAGGCATTTGCTGGACCTGGCACTGTAGGCTGATATCTCTGGGCCTGGAAGAATGTGCCTCTGTGGATTAAGAAGAGAAAAGGTGTCTCTGTATTGAACACAGAATTAGAAGGTGAGGGGAAAAACATTTGTGGAAAACTGATTAAATCTCGGGCTTGAATCTCTCCTTCTAGGTCCTGATGGGGAGAAGAGCTGGCCCAAGAACTACCCATCCTGTGGGGGCCTGATGCAGTCCCCAATAGACCTGCACAGCGACATCCTCCAGTATGATGCCAGCCTGGCGCCCCTTGAGTTCCAGGGCTACAACGCATCTGCCAACGAGCAATTTACCCTGACCAACAATGGCCATTCAGGTGAGGGAGGGACCCCAGAGACCTGCAGGGGTCTCTGAGCTTCCCTCAGCTCCCTGCCTGCCCTCTGCCGTCTGCCAGGGAGGGGGCTTCACTGAGGCTCCATGGGGAGGGGCAGAGGGGAGCCCTTGAGGGAGGTCCAGACCACTTTCTCCAGGGGGTGCTGGAGGCCCTGGGCTCAGGCCGTTCTGCCAGGGCAGCACCTCTCAGAAGATGTCTTGGGATGGGAGAGGGGACAGGCCTGGGTTCCTTAGCCATTGGCTGTGGTGTAAGAGTGAATTCTTGGGCATCATGAACTCAAGGAGCCACACAGTTCATTGTGGGCAACACACCTAGGCTTTGGAGTCAGACACACCTGGATTTGAATTCTGGCTTGAGCTTTCACCTGGAAAATGGGCATATGGGTGGGTCTTGTGAAGATGAGAGATTATGTATGTTGGGATCTGTTATAGAGTAGATGCTTCATGAATAGCAATTGTTGCTGCTGTGATAGAATTCTACAGCTTGGCAGGTACTTCATTACAGGTTCTATCTTCATAGTCAGATGTGCCATGGATGGACATGTAAGCAAATATCCACCCATTGGTCTAGTACTAGTGTTCCTGCCAACACTTTCCATTTTCCAAGGGGAACCGAGAAGGTGCTGGTGCTGCTAGAATTGCTTTAGTGAAATAGGGACGTTCCCAGGGAAAGAGGCCAGGTTTCTGACCCGCAGGCTGCGTCTCTCTGGTCTCCACCTTGCTGTGTCCACCTGCCCCCTGTCTGGGTCCCGGGCAGGTGTTGTTTACCTGACTCTGAAGGTTGCCCCTCGACTCCCCCCGCAGTGAAACTGAAGCTGCCCCCAGGCATGCATATCCAGGGCCTCCCATCCCGCTACAGCGCCACACAGCTGCACCTGCACTGGGGGGACCAGAATGACCCCCACGGCTCCGAGCACACTGTTGGTGGGAAGCACTTCGCTGCTGAGGTGAGTGGGGTGGCCGGGCAGGCAGAAGCTGCCCAGCGGTGGGTGATCTGGCATTCTTCCACTTGGCTGGTGTACAGATGAGATCAGAGCACGGGGTGGGGGTGGGGGTACTGGAAGATCAGAACACCGGTGGGGGGCTTTGCCTTCATGCTCTCCACACCCACACCCAGCCTGTTAGCAGTACAGGAAGGTGTAGCTACTTCAGCCACCTTGCATCTCCTCTGTGGTGTCCGGGTTCCCTTTAGCTCCTAAACAGGCTGAGTTTGTCTCTATATCTTCTACTGAGCGATGCTGCTCGGAAGGCAGTGCTCCCAGGGGGCACATTGGGACACATCTGCCCCTTTCCTAGACGTCACCCTTCTACTGGCACAGATGAAGATCTCACCAGCTTGTCCAGCTGATGTACCCCACTGCTGAATCATACTGGGCTAACTGCTCCCCAAACTTCTCAGTCTTCTTCACATGCCAGGCTGTTGGCATAGGTCTTTCCCACACCACTTTTCCTTTCCCTGGTCATGGCTTGTGCTTGGGACTTGGGGATCCGGGCCCAGGGCTACTCTTCTACTTGGCTACAAACGAGGGGATGACTGGCATCGTAACGTGAAGGCATCATGGCAGCCAGACTCACCGAGGATAGCTTGGGAGGTCAGCAGAGCCTTGTGTCACATAGCCCTGAGGTCCTAACCCAAAATGCCAAAGCAAGATAGGAGGAGACGCAGCGTGTGCAAT